AGCTAGAAGAGAGAGAGAGATAGAGAGAGTGATAGAACCATGAATGAATGAATGGGAACTATTAGGAGGCCAAGACGGATAACAGCCAGTAAAGGGAATTTGGCTAGGATACCAGCAGTACACCACAACTCTTAAAAGAATTGCCATGGGGTTTTTTAATGAGTCAGAGTCAGGACCTTGCTTTAACATCTAATCTGAAGAGCAGTGCTTTTTACAGTTCAGTGCCCCATCACTATATTGGGGCATTGGGGTCATCACAGACCACAGGGTAAGCACCACTGTTGGTCTTATAAGCAGCAATATAGATTTCCCAAGAGATGTCTCACAGATATTGACCAGGCACAGGTCTCATCATACCGAGAACATTGATATAATTTATTTCCTAATTAGCATGACTGCCTGTCCAAAATCTTGAATTAGTTTAAAAAAGTTTTGTACAAAACAGTAGCTTTGAACTCTCCATAGATTTCCACCAACTATCTTCTTAACATATTATACATCAAATAATCATGATAAAATCCTGATATTTTTAATAAATAAAAATATCTGTTTGATTGTTTTATAAAAAATAAAAAAATAAAATAAAAAAAAACTAAAGTTTGCTTAAAATTATATTTCAAAACATAAAACTCCATAAATACAATGTTCCCAGATGAAACAAAAGGTCATTTGCCAGTTTTTCCCGCTGTAATTATGTAATATTCTCACACTGTAAACACAAGTATTTCACTTGCACTGAGATCATAAGCTTGCACCCGCATACAATTAACTTAAAATGATGTGCAACAAGGCAATAAGGGATGCATCTTTATCTCATAAACAATCTATAACAACATCTTGTTAACACTGCTGAGGGAGTAAAACCGATAAGCTCTGAACGTTCTGTGCGGGGGGAGGGGGGCTAGTACTGTACGCACAACAGCTCAAAAGGAGGTCAATCAATTGGTATGGTTCAGTTTGCATCTGCTTGATCAGAACAAACATAAAGAATATTCCATAACCACAGGGCACGCGAGCCGAGCTACAGTACTTACACAAAACCATGATTGTCTGTAAAAGTCGCTACTGTGTAGCTGCTCGGAGAGGCAGCAATGGATTGCAATGCTTCTTGCAGTGCAGCGCTGGTTCAGATGCAATAGATCAATTGGTGGCGTCACATTTCACAGGAGCAGCGATGCAGTGTGTGTTGGTGAATGTGTGCTCAGTTCACAGTGAGTTGAGTCTGACTGCTGCATCCTGGCACTGAATGACTCTACTGTTAAGACTCAGAGTGATTACCAACCAGTCTTTTAGTTCACATATGTGACCCTGGACCACAAAACTCTTATACTGGATGAATATGTTTGTGGGTAAAAAAAAAAAAAAAAAAAGAAAGAAAAGTCAAAAGAGTCAAATTTATTACATTTATTATTTTTTATTCCAAAATCATTAGCATGTTAAACGAACGCTCCACTTTTTTTTGAAAAATAGGCTTACAGTTGAGTATTTCCATTTGTGAATACATTCTGCTTGTATGAAAGGAGCACTTTTAGCTTCGCTCAGCATAAACCATTGAATCAGATTAGACCATTAGCATCTCTATAAATAAATAAATAAATAAATAAATAAATAAACAAACAAGTCATAAAAGAGTTGTATTGATCTTACTCTTTAAATCTGGATTCAGTAATTTATGCTAAGGTTTTACCAAACCTGGAGATTGGCTGAATGAACTACAAAATGGTAACACTATTTGAAGGCTTTAACACTTTTCAGAATGAGCCTACTTGCAAAAAAAGTGATCTGTTAATGAAAGATAATCTACAAAGAATAAATTTTCTTCCAACAAAACATATAAAATATAAAATTTTTGTATCTGGGCAAAATATCATCTTATCAAACTTATGTATTCTGTATTTAAGTGATAAATAGCAATGAAAAATTAACAAACAAAAATAAAAGTTTTGTGGTTCAGGATAACACATTGTTTAATATATTGCCACATTGGAGTGGTATATAATGTTTTTCTAGCTCTGAATTGAGGCATCTAGCTCAAAACGTTAGCTCTAAACATTAAGTTCTACTTTTTATTCGGTAACACTTTACAATAAGGTTCATTAGTTAATGCATTTACTAACATGAACTAATAATGAAGAACACTTGTACAGCATTTATTAATCATAATTGAACATTTACTAATGCATTATTAACATCCAAGTACATGCTTGATAATATTAGTTAATGCACCATAAGTTAGCAAGAACTAGCAATGAACAACCATATTTTCATTAACTAACATTGACTAACATGAACAAATATCGTAGTAAATGTATTGTTCATTGTTTGTTCATGTTAGTAAATGCATTAATTAACATTAACTATTGAACCTGATTGTAAAGTGTAACCTTTTATTCTATATACCATATTTTTCAAGTATATATTAATATAACAATATAAATTGCCGTCCATTTAGAGTTTTGAAAATAATAATAATAATAATAATAAAAATAATAATAATAATAATAATGATAATAATAATAATAATAATAATAATAATGATGATGATGATGATGATGATGATGATAATAATAATAATAATAATAATATTAATATATTTCCCAGAGATGGGTTGCGGCTGGAAGGGCATCCGCTGCGTAAAAACCTGCTGGATAAGTTGGCGGTTCATTCCGCTGTGGCGACCCCCGATTAATAAATGGACTAAACCGACAAGAAAATGAATGAATGAATGAATGAATGAATGAATGAATGAATGAATGAATGAATGAATGAATAATATAATAATTTATACAAATCTAAAATATCTGAATTATATATACAAAATTATATTCAAAATGTACACATCAAATGTAAAAATAAATACAAAATACAAGAGTTTGACATTTACTACAATAAGTGCTTTATATATAAGCTTTATATTGGCTTTGTAGTATAAATTATAGCACATTATAGATATATAGACAGAAACACAGACAGACAGACAGACACACAGACAAACAGAAAGATAGATAGATAGATAGATAGATAGATAGATAGATAGATAGATAGATAGATAGATAGATAGATAGATAGATAGATAGATAGATAGATAGATAGATAGATAGATAGATAGATAGATAGATAGATAGATAGATAGATAGACAGACAGAGACAGACAGGGTCATAGAAACTACATCTGTGATGACAATACTGGAAACACTTTTGTGCATCAAAATCTTCCTTGACTATAAATCAGAAATTACATTCCAGCATAAAAAGGACTGTTGCGTGAATATCAAACCCCCAAAATATATATAAATATGCAAATCAGATTGTGTTTGACTTAGAGCTGAAGACGAGCTTCACGGCAGCATTGCATTGAGGTGCTTGGGCAAAGCTGATCAAGTCATATATATTCAGCTCATGCCAACATGAATGCAGCATCTTCACCCTCCTGCGTCGCATCACTTCTGCTTGTTACCCCACTGAAGAACAATGTCAGCACACAAGGACAGTTCCGTCTCATTCAACGCCCTGACAGCACTAATGCACAACCCTTATACTGGATCTGCTTTGGTCGAATTGTGTTGTATTTCTGAATATATATTTTCTTTTTGTGCTTTGCATGAAAGAGGGAAACTGGTGTTAGTGACGTCATGTGGGTATGATCTAGCAACCCTTTATTTACCTATCTGTCAATCTATCTATCTATCTATCTATCTATCTATCTATCTATCTATCTATCTATCTATCTATCTATCTATCTATCTATCTATCTGTCTGTCTGTCTGTCTGTCTGTCTGTCTGTCTGTCTGTCTGTCTGTCTGTCTGTCTGTCTGTCTGTCTGTCTGTCTGTCTGTCTGGTTGGTTGGTTGGTTGGTTGGTTGGTTGGTTGGTTGGTTGGTTGATTGACTGATTGACTGACTGACTGACTGACTAACTGATTGATAGATTGAAAGTTAATGCTGATTGTACATTTGTTCCATGATTTACAGAACACCAACTTCACGATTTACAAAATTACAGAAAACCAACTTTAATAACACCCATTAACAATCATTTATATACCAAAAATAAATTCTGGCATATTCATAACAATCATTTGTTGACATATGTGTTACAGTGCAAATCAAAAGTAATAATAATTTATTTTGTGTTGTCAATTACACTGCAAATAGTTTTAATAATTCATTTAGTTCATTCATTTACCTTCGGTTCAGTTCCTTATTAAGCAGGGGTCACCACAGCAGAATGAATCGCCAACTATTCTGGCATATGTTTTACCCAGCGGATGCCCTTACTGGGAAACAACCATACATTTTCACATTCACACACACTCATACACTATGGTCAGTTTAGTTCATCCAATTCACTTATGCCGAATGTCTAGATTGTGATCTAACCTGCCAACATTTGGTGTTACTGTACCAAAAAAACTTGAGGACAAGGGGTGGGAAAATAACGGGAGTTATTATGGAGAAATAACAAAACAGGAGGGTGGGGGTAGATGGGTCTGAAATATGGAAAACTTCCGGGAAAAGCGGGAGTGTTGGCAGGTATGATTGTGTGGGGAAACTGGAGCATCCAGAGGAAACCCACGCAAACATAAGGAGAACATGCAAACTCCGCACATAAATGCCAACTGGCCCATTTTTTTTATGTATACACATTATATGAAACACTAAAGTATACATTTTACTTGCATTTGATATACTTCATATGCACATAGAATCACTTTAGTAAATTCAATTTGATCAGGACACCAAAATGGGTCGTCTTGTCTTTGACCCATATAACTAGAATCCCCAGTGGAATAATGCTGACAATGTTCAGATATTTTTGTAGGCAAGACTCCAATATCTGCTCACATAAATTCCATAAAATAAATCCACCATAAGACAGATCAACTGGAGTTAAATATGTGACTGCACTACCCTTAATCTACCCTATGCTGCCCATGGGATCAATTGCGAGCATCTATCCAACCGTCCATCCATGGAACTGTAATCCCAGACAGCTCTTACCTTCGGTCAGGCCGATGTTGATGCTCCAGTAACTCTGCAGACACTGCATTTCCTTCTTCATTCCTCTTTTGCAGCGGCAGTCGAACAAAGCCATCTCCTGCAACACTTCCAGAGCCACCTGACAATCCCTGTTGGCCAACATGGTGTTCCTGTCCTTGCCTGCCAGACACTGCCTCATGATCCTGAAGCGATGGCTGCATTTTTGGTCCTGGTTACACTTCTCTGTGGCTTTTAAACAGTCCATCGAGTCTTGGTTGCCAGACTCGGAAAGAGAGGAAGAGCCAGACATGGAGAACACAAGCTCATCTGTGAAGATCAGAGGAGAGGAATGAAGGTTCAGGTGTGTGTGTGATCTTTTGAACACTACTGAAGTCTAACTATTGAAGTCCACTTCTGATACTGGATAAAACAACTTTTTGTCTCTCAGTTTAGGCTTTTTTTTTGCTCAGAATTCTGAGATTATAGTTTGTTGTAAGTTGTGAGAAATTGAGACAGATTTGAAAGAATTGTAATGAAGCCTACATTATGAACAAATTACTCATGAAGACGCACTCCAAAAATATTATTAATGTGTTTTTAATAATGTGTTTTTTTGAGGGGAAAGCCTTATAGTTTTATGTTCAAAGCACTTATATTTCTAAAAACAATTTAGTTCACTTAATGCATTTGTGTAGGAATGACATAATAATTTCTTATATTTATATATTGCTTTTTGGAAACTCAAAGCGCTCTACTTTTGGGGGGAATCTCCTCATCCACCATCAGTGTGCAGCATCCACCTGGATGAAGCAAAGGCAGCCCTATTGCGCCAGAGCGCACACCACACACCAGCTGATTGGTGGAGAGAAGACAGCAATGAAGCCAATTATGATATGAGGATGATTAGCAGGCCATGGTGGACAGTGGGCAAATTTTACAAAGATGCCCGGGGTTAAACCCCCACTCTTTTTCAGAGGACATCATGGGATTTTTAACAAACCACAGGAAGTCAGGACCTCAGTTTATCGTCTCATCCGAAAGATGGCACTATATAGCAGTGTCCCCAACAATGTACTGGGGTGATAAGACCCACACAGACAGCAGATTGAGTGCCCCCTGCTGGTCTCACTAACACCACTTCAATCGAAATCAAAAAGAATTGTGTAGAAACCAGTGTTTTTTACAGTGCTGCCAATGTTTTGAGGGGAAATAAAATCAGAATTGAAAGAAAGCCATGACACAACTGCAAAAAATTGTAAAAATTCTGAGAAATGAAGTTAGAAATGTGAGAAATATAGACAGAAATATAAAGTTGCAGTTTTGAGATGGTCAAAGTTACAGAAAGAAATAAAGCCAGAGATGAAAACAAATCTTATAAACTCGCAAAACTGGAACTGAAAGGGTTGAGATTCTTATGAAAAAAAAAGTCAGAATTGTTATATGAAAACACAGTATTCTGTAAAAAGTAAGTCATTGAAGATAAAAACAAATCAGAATTGTGAGAACTCAAGACAAAATTGACAGATGTAAACAGAAATTTTAAGACAAAATTGTGAAAAATTAAGTTAAAAAAAGTTTTTTTTTAAAAAGCAAAAATATTCACAAGTTCAACAAATAATGTAACAATTAAGAGAAATAAAGTCTGAATTGTACTAAATCAACTCAGAATTTCTAACAAAAGTCACAAATCTTACAAAAGTCACAAATATGCGTTTGGGAAAAAAAAACAGAATTGCAAGATGTTTATGCCTCACTTTAATCTCAGAATTGTATCTTTCTAGATATATTTTCTTGCGAGTTTCGAGGTTTCCTTCCTATTCTGATTTTACACCCCAAAATTCGAATTTATATTTTTATATAACTAATAAATAAGCCAAATTTTTGGGATTTTAACTTACAATTATAAAGGGGGAATTAATAAAAGAACTGTGATAAAACTGTGATCCTGCTTTAAAAGATTGCATCTATTAATCTATATCATTGTCTTGTTTTTTTTTTTTCCATAATAGAATTAAAGTAATTGTACAGAATATCTAGCCAGGCCAAAGAGCGCAATTTAGAGACCATCAAACCAGTGGCAATGACCAGATTATTGCGCGATCATTATAATAAATCACAGAGATCACTTGACAGCTTGGAATGGTGTCCAAGTACAAAACACATGCCTCAAAGAGTAAAAGATCATATACATCACACAAAAGACGAATAACTATTCTGGCATGAGTCACAAATGATTAGTGACAGTCTTTTGTTTTTAAATAGGCCTATTTGTGATAAAAGGGATTTAATTAGTGGCTGACAAATGCTCTTTATTCTCTCCTCATATATTAATGGCTAAAAATTGCACTATAAGAGGTTTAATATTTCTCTGTGTCTATTTTTTTTTCTTTTTCTTTTTTTCATATGCAAATGCATTTGGTCATTGGGTCATTATAACAGAGGTGCAACCCACCAGTGACACCTACAGGTGTAAATACATCAGAATTCTTACCGATCTCATTTATTTATTTATTTATTTCCCCCTTTAAACTGTTCACAGCATGTCAATTGGGGGAACTAGAAATATTCAGACACACCCTTTAACGAATCAATGATGGATGCTTTGGGAAAATACTAATAAACATACCTAAAAAAAAAAAATAATAATAAAACTCAGACTATGAAACAAGATATGAAAGAAAAAAAAATATATATAGCAAGGTTATGTTTTACATCTCAGTATATTGCTGATATTAATATTACTTACAGTATTAATTACAATCAGGTCTGCATCAGAATTAACATAATTTTACTGCAAAACTGCACTGTTAAACTATGCAAAGTCTAGCTGAAGGTTCAGTATCAATTTCAGAATGTCTATATGGTTGATATGTTCTGCAGAGTGTTTAAATATTCAGCTTAAGTTTCATCTATGGTGCGCAGAAAGCATTCTTGTCAGTGCAGTGGCCAGTGATAAACCTACAAGTGACCTTGATAAATCTCACCTTTGTTGAAATATTTTACTAATTATTTTAATGAGTGGAAATCTAACCACTTGATACAAATTAGACACCATGCAAAACTATTAGATAACGTGATCGGGGGGTCATTAAGAAAGAAACGCAGCTCGTGCAACTTGCATAATTAGCATATTTAAATAGGAAAGCAGTACTTGAAGTTATATTCATTCCGATTTCCATGAGAACTGAAATGTTTTGTTATCGTTTGATGCGCTAGCCAATCGAACTTGACCTCACCTTAATCTGAGGCAACTTCTCAAACTATTAAAATAATGCAATTCACTCAAACCATTAACGCGTTTTATAGATTGACTTTAAATAATCAAACACAAAATTAAACTGAATTTCATCAGGGTATATTTTGTTGTCATCGACTAAAGTAAAAAAGAACAATCTTGCAAAAAAAGGGTGTAAACCAAAAACTCACCTAAAAAGAGCAGAAAGCCGATATAGATATACATGTTTCTGTTTCTGCTAAGGAACCCGCGTGCGTAAAAGGGAGCCGCTCGTGCTGTCATATGTTCCCTCCAAATAACTGGATTCTGCTTAGTCCTCCTAAAATACCGATGCTGCTCTAAACGCTCTATGACCTTAAAAATCCCAAATTGTATCCAGCGTTTGTCGGACCATGATTCTTTACTTTTCTCCCCTTCTAAATAATCCAAAGCCTCATATACAGAGGGAAAAGTTCTCTATTCCGCTTAGGAGGGAAACTAAACCCCAGGTTTCCGTAGGAAGCGTTTACTCGTGGTGGATTCGTGTGAACAGGCGCATATTTCCCAACGCTGATGGATGTTGTATAAACGCAAAGGACGCAGGACTGAAATGTCTGGCTTTCTAAAAGCAATGCTCCTTTACAGGATATTCCCGCTTCCGTTTGTCTCCAAGATAGAATTCCTAAGCAAAGGCAGTGAGAAACTTCGGGATGGAGGAGAGCTGCGGACGCACTTCTGTCTCTGGCGGAGGCTGGAGCGCTCCTGATGAGAGACGCATAAGCGAGCACACGTGCCCCCGTTACGCGCTCCAGCCTCCAGCCCACATGTTAAATGATCCGGGGCCGGATGAGTTAATCAAAGCGCGGACAAACAACCGGTCGAGCTGACTCACTGTACATTTGATAACTAGCTTTAGAGCAAAAATATTAATGTAAGTTTTGACAAGAGTGGCTCCCTTTTGCAATTGTGTAAATAAAAATAGTAGATCCATCAGTGAAAATCTTTTTTTTTTTTTCCGGGGATTTAATGAACTGATAATTGCAGCTATTTATTTATTTATTTATTTATTTATTTATTTATTTATTTATTATGGGTTTGTTTGTTTGTTTGTTTTATTATTTATATTTTTGAAAACCATATGTCTCGGATTTAGGAGTAGTATACATACGTCATGAGACCCTGTGTGTTGTGAAAAAAAAAGATGACAGCATCGTCATCATTTGCATCATCCCGTGACTTGCAGAGGTCAATGCATGTAATCATCTGATATAATAAGCTGCATGGTGTGTGAAATCATCATAATTGGGCTGTTTGCCAGTCTGATGTAAATATTGCAGTGAAGGATTGACGTCAAAAGAAAACGTGTCTGCATTTATAGAAAGGTGACTGAAAAAATTATTTAATTCCTTGTAAAAAACAATTTTATGTAATGTGAAATAAGAGGTTATTTTTTGTGAATTACAATTAATAAACCATGGTAAATCGTTTGTAAGCTATGGGTGTGGGCAATTAGTAGAGTAGCCTATCACAAATATTCATTCAATTGCATGTGTTAAAGTGCTTTTATATTGCTCAGACGTCAATGTTGTCTTAACATATTGTTCACACTGTTCACATATTGTATTATAATAACGTGTTGGCCAGTAGTAGATGATGTTACTTTGTAAAGACTGAAACGCTATATGCATTTGTGCACATGTAGTCTGACATTGCTGTTTAGTTGCCAAAAAATGGTATGTACAATATATCAACTGAGCATGTACAGTACTATCATGTTTTTGTTCAATAGTTCTCTCTCTCTCTCTCTCTCTCTCTCTCTCTCTCTCTCTCTCTCTCTCTCTCTCTCTCTCTCTTCTCCTATAACCACATTTGGTGCATAAACACACAGCCTTTGTTTTTATTTACTCCATGTAGTTCTAAGAGCTGAGATGCATATTTAGATTTTTTTCAGACACATCAAGGTAATTGAGTAAAGGTTATCTCACTGACTCACAGACAGACATACACATACATACACTTTAATTTGCTATTATCCCTTATATAAAATCTAGAAAATAAGATTTTATTTGTTTTCTTTTGTGTCACAGGCCTATCTAAAAAGTTAATGGTTCCAACTAATGATCAACAGTAAAAATGACATATTTGACCTCTTCCCAAAAGGGAAAACCACCAACAATCAAAAATAAATGATTATATGGTGTCATGGTTTTGTAATCAAAAATGTGGTTATAATGGAAGTCAGTGGAGCAAAACAGCCACCAACAGGATGAAACTAAATGAAAATTAATCAAAGGCAATATTGTTTCACATGTCCAAGATTTTGATAAAAGTTTAAACAAAATCCAGTCCGCAATTACTTTTTATGTTTAAAATATGTCATTCTGTGTGTTTTCACTATAAATGAGTGATGTCATTTATGAATTTGGCAATTAAAGAGTTCAAATTCTGTAAATTTTCTAAGCAATTTAGTAATTTTGATCAGGACTAAGGTTTGTTAACAGATTTATAAAAAAAGTAAAAAATTATATATATATATATATATATATATATATATATACATACATACATCCACCATATTTTAAATCACATTCTGTATGTCCTGAGGCTATGGATGTGTCGAGTTATGTCATTGAAATGAATGGGAATAATTATGGAGAGATTTCAACAGGTATTATTGACCTCCTCGGGTCATAAGTCAGAAAAGCTGTCAAAATGTTCACTGACTCTCAGAATTATGTCAAAATATTTTTTATATATATCTGATGCATTTTACAGCAGTTTAATTTAGTGGATGTTTTCATCCCTAACATAACAAAAGGGTAGTACATTTGCCCTGAGTGTATAGTTGAGTTCTTTTTTTTTAACTACAAGCATTTTTTTTAAATAATATTTGTCAACAAAATCATTCTGCTACTTGAGAAATAGAAAAAAGTTATGGCTGAATGGATGAAAACATCCCCAACAGTACATAAGGATTAAAAACTAAATATATGAAAAACAATATATGCTTTTCAATGAATATAGTTAATTTGAATGATATGTGGATGTACAACATCCACCATATTGTTACTGTCACATCACCTGTATCACCAATATAGTTTACTGACATTCCAGTATCACATTACTGGCATTTACAAATCCTCTTTTATGGCCATATGGCTAGACACATAGCAACGTCTATAGTGGTTAAGCATTTCAGAATAAATCTATACATCATCTGCCTACTGTTTTTCAAATAATATAACTTTGTATCTTTTAGACATACATATACTATATAGTTCTTAATATTTAGTATTGTAGTATACTGTACAGGTAATATAAGGGTATTTAATGTTAGATTATCAGTCTGCTGTTTTTGATATCACATATACTTATAGTAAGGTTTATGGCATTCATTAGCACTATGCTCTTAATGCAGTTTTTTTATGGTGAGATAAGCCATATTTTAAATCACATTCTGTATGTCCTGAGGCTATAGATGTGTTGAGTTATGACATTTAAAGAATGGGAATATTAATGGAGAGATTTCAACAGGTATTATTGACCTCCTCGGGTCATAAATTAGAAAAGCTGTCAAAATGTTCACTGACTCTCAGAATTATGTCAAAATATTTTCTAATGACGTTCTATGGCATTTAAGGCTGGTAAACAAAGAATAAAAGAGGCAGGAACGGGAGAAAGTTGTAGTCCAAAAGATGAGTTGTGATCAGAAGTACAAATCAAAACATATTGTTATCCAGTTTAGTGGATAAAACAACCAACAATGTTGTCCAAAGTGGAAATGTATATAATAAACAAATAAAAAAATGGAAAAGTATTTTTTCAAAGTAATAATAACCAGCCTGATGACACTTTCAGTGATCTTTCTAACATCAAAGGTCATGGCATCTTGAAAACAAGCTAAAATGTCGATGCCTTGACATTTTCACCTTCAGAGAATTCCCTCACAAACTTTTAGACATTTTAACATGCTTGTATGTTGAGACAAAACAAAGAAGTATGTTTAACCACAACATATTAGGTATAAAAAAGTATGTGTGGTCACAAAGTTTGTACTTGAAATTTTTTATCAATAAAGGGGCTAAAATTATTGACCAAAAAATAAATAAAAAAATAAAAAAATAAAATAAAATTATATATATATATATATATATATATATATATATATATATATATATATATATATATATATATATATATATATAATTATTATTATTATTATTCATAAAAAACTGCTTTTATTCCAGCCAAAAATAAGTAATACTATTTCCAAAGAAAATACATATCTAATATAAATTACTGTGCATATTACCTTGCTCTTTTAAACATCCCTTGGAAAATTTCACAGGAGGGCTAATTTTACAAAGGTCTCCTATTATTGAAACTCAGTGTGCTTCCTTCAATAGTTTGTTCCTTCCTTCATTCATTCGGTCTTTCCTACCTTCTGTCCTTCCTTACATTATTTTTTTGTTCTTTCCTTCATTATTAAATTGTTTGATCGTTTGTTCCTTCACTTGTTTGGGGCTTCCTTCATTTGTTTTGTCATTCCTTCGTTTCCTCATTCTATTGGTCCTTAATTATTTTGTTCCTTACTTATTTGGTTCTTTGTTCATTCTTTCATTTGTTCATTCCTTCATTCATTCCTTAGTTTGTTGTAACGACGGGGTGGAGTGACAGAGACAACAGGAGGTAAGATCTAATATGCAGGTTTATTTAGAGTCAGGCAAGCAGTGGTCATACAGGTAAAAACGGGTATGTGTAGGCAAATCCAGAATCGTAGTCATATAAACAAGCAACAGGTCGAAAGGCAGGCGGCTAAACAGGAGAACACGGATGAGCAAGGCTAAGTTCAAACACAGGAAACCAAGACAGGGAAATGCTTCGTAATGCTACTGGTACAGCTAACAAAACTCGGCCAACTGGAAGAGTGAATGTGTGGGTTAAATAGGGTGTGTATCAGTCTCTAACAAGGTTCAGCTGGTGAGAATGCAATCAAGCTAGATGTGTTAGCATGGGTGTCTGGGGACAGTGCATGTATGAAAATGTAGTTCTGGGAAATGCGGAGCGATCGCTGGTTATGTGACATTTGTTCAGTACTTCCTTGAATTCTTCCTTAATTAATTGGTCCTTTCTTCCTTCATTAGTTCAGTCCTTCCTTCCTTCATTCCTACCTTCCTTACATTGTTTGTTTGTTCTGTCCTTCATTCTTTCATTTGTTTGTTTGCTCGTTCATTAATTCCTTCATTCATTCACTTATTAATTTGTTCCATAGTTTGTTCAGTCCTTCCTTGAATCCTTCCCTA